TGTTCTGTTGTACATAAGGTTGGATCTGACTTGATGGTACCTAACAACAACAACAGCATGTCAATTGATATTTACCATATTAGAAATTTAGACTGAGAAATTAAAGAGAAAAATTAACTATTAAGTCATTAAAAATCCAATACATTAATATATTGTATCAGCTAAGGTCCACCAGAGAAACAATTAGTAGAATATTTGTATCTGTAGCTATTGATATATATATATCTTGACTTGTGGCAACCCCTCTTTGGGTTTCTGAGGCAGTACCTCTATGGAAGTAGATTGACCAACTCCTTCCAAGGAGTGGCCAGTGGGTTTGAACCGCCAGCCTTCTGGTTAGCCATCTGATACCTTAAGCACTATGCCACCAGTGCTGCCATATATATGTAATTGCAAGTAATTGGATTATATAGTCTGCTAGAGTCTTTGGGGGAGCTCTGGTGGCATAGTGCCTAAGGCATTTGACTGCTAACCAGAAAGGTTAGAGTTCAAACCCTCAGAAGTTCAAACCAGAAGCCACTCCTCGGAGGGAAGGTGGGGCAATCTATTTCCGTAGTGATACTGCCTCGGAAACCCAAAGAGGGGTCGCTATGAGTCAGGTTTGACTTGACAGCACATAACAACAACAACAGAATCTTTGTTTAGTGCAAATAGTTAACAAGCTAGGTAGCCTGTGTGTGTTAGAGTAGAACTGTGCTCCATATGGTTTTCAATGGCTAATTGTTTTGAAGTAGATCACCAGGCCTTTCTTCAGAGATGTCTCTGGACTTGAACCTTCAACCTTTTGCTTACTAGCCTAGCACCTTAACCATTTGCACCACCAAGGAAGGTATTCCTTTATAAAGAGGTGCTCACTTGATGTTATTACTTTCAAACTTTACATAGTTAATGTGTGGGATGTAAAAGACAAAATCTTTTGGGTTGCTTGCTTTAACCCCCCAAAAAAAGACTATGATGAAGAGTCTCATAAGAAATTACTGATTAATGTAAAGCATATAAAAATATTACATTTATATTTGTTTTTGATTTTTTTTCCAGATTTCTTTTCTAAAATTAAAAGTATGATGTAGAAATTTATCAGAGAAATTATAGCACATTGGTGTGTAGACAACCCTTTGATTTATTTAGTCAAGGTACCTATGTACAAAGTTAGATCATGTGCATTCACTGAACATCATTCCTTCTGAGTGGTCTTTATGGAATGAGAGAATAGTAATAAAACCCAGAGCCTTTTACCACTTAAGCCACTATTTGAAAGCCAGCCAAGTGATAGAGGTTGGAAAATAATTACCATCTGTCAATGTTCAGTGGTTGTTGCCAGTGAGTTAGATGTGCTCATTCTGCTTTCTAATCAACTGGGCAGCCATATTTTGAAAACCTTCTGTGTTTCTGGTAGATGCTGCCATACGTATCCCATTAAAAATCAGTGAGTTCCAAGTACCAGAACTTTTAATTAACTTCTCTGTCTAGCATGAAATTCAACAAATAGTTGCCCTGATCAAATAAATTTGCTGTTTTTCGCATATAACACACCTATGTAAATAATGCTCACAGTACACATAGGAAATTAACATGCCAGAGGATTGCGCAGTTTGTAGAAAATTCTGTAATACATGTGATATTTGTGTAAAAATATGGTGCACATTTTCCCTAACCCTCTGAGTGTATGTGTTCCACTTTTGCCAATGCCATCTCTCTTATTTCCTCTTTCCTTCATCACTTAACTCATTTCCTTCTTCTATTTCTATCCCTATGCCTTTTTCAAGCACTTCTCCTGAATGCCCATTTGATTAATTTTCTGCTCACTCTTTTTTTTAATTTTCTTTTTTTTTTTTT